TATATATATATAATGTACATTATTATTTTAATGACTTTTTTGTTCTCCTTGGGAAGAAAAAGAGCTGTTTTAAAAACAAAAAGGAAGACGTATGAATTTTTCGTGAATACTTGTCAGAATAATTTTTCTTCGATCGAATTATCGCCATATTCCTCGCTACTCTTGTACGTTCCTGAATGCATGTCCACTTCATTTTAAGTACAGGAAGTGTCGAAGAGTGCAGATGAACAAGTAGTTACACATACAACTAGTCAAATAGAGTAAATTCTTTTGATTTTTTAAATGTCAGCTCACAGATAAATTGACAGCGGTCAATTAACCGATAATCTCGGAGAGTTTATCTCCATGCTCAATTAATTATCAATTAGCGTATACACTACGAAGAGTTTCCAACTTGCCAAAGAAAAATAATGAGAATTAAAACATCGAAGCATAGTTGCGGTAGTAAAACATAACCTCTCACGCCTCAATGACCGTGCGTTTCGAACGTAGTGACAGGATTATTACCGTGAGGTTCAGTGACACTAATTGATTTCGGATTCACAGACATGATTAAAGCGATCTTAGTCTTCAATAATCATGGGAAACCTCGTCTCTCCAAGTTTTATCAGTACTTTGTAAGTATATCTCAATTCTGCTCGTTTTGGACTTCTCTTTTGCTTGTCACTTGTAAATTCTGCGAATTAAAATCTTTTATTTATTGAGATATAATAAAAACTAATAGTGGAGACGATATACGGCGTAATTTCTATGTCGATATATCTATCGAATATCACAATTGTGTAGAACACGATAGGAACATGAAAGCATATGGATCATTGCAATACACAATACATTTTCTGCTTCAGAATGAAGATATGCAGCAGCAGATAATAAAAGAAACGTTTCAGCTTGTCTCGAAGAGAGATGACAACGTGTGCAATTTCTTGGAGGGTGGTAGCTTGATTGGCGGGTCTGACTACAAGTTGATCTACCGACATTATGCAACGCTTTACTTTGTATTCTGCGTTGATAGCTCAGAATCAGAACTGGGAATCCTAGACCTGATACAAGTCTTCGTCGAAACTTTAGACAAATGCTTTGAGAATGTGTGCGAACTTGATCTTATTTTTCACGTGGACAAAGTTCATTACATACTTAACGAGTTGGTGATGGGTGGTATGGTTCTCGAGACTAACATGACTGAGATTCTCACGAGGATCGAGGATCAGAATAAGTTGGAAAAACAAGAGGTAAGTATAGGTTGTTTATAATCCCTAATGTTATCTTAACTGTGATCTTATTTCCTGTGAATTTGTGTTCCTTGATTTAAATATACTGAATAAATCTTGTTCTATTTAGCTGAACTTCTTCCATGATTTATTTCTTTTTTTTTCTCCAACATAAAAAAAAGAAGAATAAATTTGGTACAAGAAATTTAGCTAAAAAGAATAAGTTTCACGTTATAATGTCATAAAACTATGGCAAAATCACAGGATTGTTTCGATCTGTACTCACGATGTATAAACTTTTATAATTTTTTTACATCCAAATGTTTACATCATGCCCATTTCATCAGATAAAACATTTATATGTTTCAAGCTAATACTGCTAATTTTGCAATGTGTTTATTTTCTATCATTGAGTTTTAATACATAACTACCTAAGCAGTTTGTTGAGCTATGCATGCATACTGGTACAGCGATCTGTAGAACATATTTGATATGGTGACAGATAGGACTGATTGACATAACATCAATTTTAGGGGACTTACAAATCTGGGCGGTCTTGCTCACCCCGTCCGTTTGTCCTTCTGGGACCTCCTCCTTAAGTAAATCGGCAGTAGCAAATCAGGCCACTTTATATAATCGTACTTTTGTGCGAATTCATTCTTTTTATTTTTCTTTTTTTTAATATTTTATCCAAGAAATCCTTTGTATTTAGCTTCATAAAGCGTAAACGTTTACGTAACACGCATGGCGATGCAATTTTATTTTGTAATTATCCACTGCATAAACCGAGTGCCTTCATAATGTAAATGTCGCTTTGTAAGGATAATAAATGTCAACGCCGTGTTGTCAATGTTGTCATCCGTCATTTGCCTTTGCTCCTTGTAACTAAAATTACAGCCCTTACATTTATTCAGCCTTGCTGAAACTTATCCGTTCTCCACACTTCTTCGATCCGTATGATGTGTGCAGGCGGGAATCACAGCAGCGCCCGCGCGTGCTGTATCAGCGGTGAAGAACATGAATATACCACAACAAATAAAGGATATGAAACTGCCTGACTTGCCGCAAGCCATAAAAGACCTCAAATTCTGACCAGCCGTCACATCGTTGGCACCCAGCTGACTGGTCTCTTCTGTCATCCCGAATGTAACTGACACCACCGTCGCACCGAGGACACTTTTCCCCTCCCTTCAAGCAAGCGAGAATGCACCAATGCTGCCTGCTACCTCTGCGTATATCCCATCTCAACGATACCAGAGTTAAAGATCATGGATGAATCATTATCTTTTTTGAGTCACGGTTCTTCCGGTAAGAAAATACGAACTATGAGAGAAACTAATTTCGAGGAGTTTCTAAACAAGAAAAGAAATCGAGCAAGATGAGAGAATGTTTCTTAAATTTTTTATATATAATAAGAGATATTAAAACGATATCAGATCTACGAATTCAGCTATAGTATTGGCAACTTTTCGATTGTCTGGTAGTCTAGCTCCACGTTCCATTACATGTAAGAAATACATGTTATTCACTGAAAAGCATTAATGTTATATTGTAATGAAAATATATTTAATAAATAAAATGCACTATTGTAAACGTGTATTGTTTTTTGCAAAATTATTTCTATATTGTACAGTGATGTACATTCAAAATATATACCATATTTTTTTCGTGTCAACTCTTGCGACTTCTTTACAATCCTACATAATTCTAATCATTCTTAATTTAAATAATACGTAAATAATACGACTAAAAAGTATAAAAAAAAAACTATAGTGATTGCGTGTAAAAATAATCTTATTATTTTAAGATATAATCTTATTATTCTTAGAGCAACACTGTCCAAACAACACAAAGACCAAAATTAGGACAGACGTTTTTACTGGACTTTGTGTTGAACTGGGTACTAATACATGTTCTCAATAAAGAATTACTATTACTTTTTAGATATGGCCAATTCATTTCTAAGAGTCGTCCATATGAAGCCCGCTCCTTTCTCTGTGAGAGGAGGTGGATAGGGACTGTTTTTTAACTTGAAATAATCCGATGGAGCGTGCATTACAAATTCCATACACTCTAATTTACGAGGTAAATCTTCGTCTGGTCCAATTAAATATGTCTCGGGAATGAAACCTTCTTCCGGTGGAGGACTAAAAGGTACATTAGTTAACATTAATTCTGTTCATTTTAGTTGTTCATTTCTTGCACAGTTCTTTTCTTTTTTTTCTCCGTGAAAAGAAAAAGGAAAGATGAACTGTGGAAGAAATTGAGTTAAAAGAATGTGCATATTGATAAATATTGTTATAAAATTATTATAATCTCATGAAATTAATGGAATAAGGAACTTCACCTCGCTGTGGTGGGCAATAACCAGGTAATGGCAGCGCTCTTTTCGCAATACTGGTCCGTTAACAAACCACGTATCTGAGCATAATAAATACCACCATCTACGTCTTGCAGAGAGACTACATCTCCGACTTGAAAATATGTGCCCTTGTAAAATACAAAGTTGCTGGTAGTTGGAGTCGCAGTAGCTGTAGGTGCCTTGACTGGCTGCAAATGCAGTTAAACATACATAGTCAATGATTCCACATATTTCTATGACTATAGGTACTTTCCAGCAAAAAAGACAAGTAACACAATGAATCATTATATTCTTGTTGCTAATGTTAAACAAAGATGAAATAATGATTGTGACTTTGTTGAAAAACGGCAACAGATGACACAACATAAACTTTCTATTTAGTGACACAAATTGACACAAATTGTTTCTGTTATTCATTAAATGCCAGATAAATGTTTGTGTGTTGTATCATGGAAAGTATCTACTATGATTATCTTTATAATATTGACAAACAAGAATATAGTAATTCATTGTGTTACCAGAGTACGTTTGGTTTTGTTTATAAGCATAAATTTGTTCTTGTTTAATATTTATCCTACAAACACAATAGAATAGTAAGCCTTAAGCCTTAAGGAATTGACCAATCACAGTCGATTATTCTTCTCACATTTAACTGTGATTGATTAATTTCTTAAGGCTTAAGATTCTTGTGTTTACAGGGTTGATAAACAATAATAAGGATGAATTAATGCTTACAGAATATGAGTGTGAAACTGGAACACATCTCACATCTTTTGCTAGAAAGCATCTACTACCACATCATTGCGACAAAAATGGAAGGACATCTTTCACTCGCTCACCGTTTTCTTAAACAGATTCCTGCGACCTTTACCCTTGGGCACAATTCTGTGTGGTCCTATCGTTTTCGTGTTACAATATCTCGTGATCCGCGTGCTCCTTCTAGGCTTCAGCGAGCCGCTTTTATCCTCTTCGTCCGTTTTGGAAGACGTGCTCGCCTCAGCATTCCGTTCATCCTCCAAACAAGCATTGCACAAATTCCCAGCGTCAGTCGAGTGCCACAGAGGGGTCTCATGTGTCCCGCATTTGACACATTTTGGTTTGCTGCCGAGCGGCATCGGATTTCTCTCAGGTCGGCCTCAGAGAGTTCGACATAAACAATGAATTTTCCTCTAGCGATTGTTTATCTCGTCTAATTTTCTGATCGCTGATTTCAGCTGTCATGTCGTGTTTACATGCGCGTTAACACGCGTTTACTTTACTGTGTTGTGTCACGTATTTTTACTTCAGTACCGGTCATTCGACGCACGCGTTTCGCTAGAGGTGTGTTCAGATTCCCGCTTGAGTGTTCCGCAGATCTTATCTTAGCTCGTGTTCAGATTCCCACCCGAGTGTTCTTCAGGTGTCATGTCATCCTTGTGAAACGTTCGGTAAATAACAAGGATAGAGTGATACCAGGGGCACGATTCTGTAACTGTTTCAAGCTGATTCTATATTAGACGCGAGCCGCAAGTAATGTAGAATCGTGGTCTACAATAAGTTACCAACATACCGTCGCCAGTCACAATGCTTCATGACAGCCAATCAGAAGTATTATTAGTTACTATTGACGTTTTTGATTGGCTGTTGTGAAGCATTGTGACTGGCGACGGAGTGTTTGTAACTTATTGTAGATCACGCTCAAAAATTATTAAAGAGAAACCCGAAAGACGCTCCCATTAATGCTAATCGATGAACTCAATTATCACGTTGCTTGCACTTTTCGCTTTTTCTTTTGTCGATGCTTAAATATGTATCTATCTCATTTTAAGTTCAAAAATTTTTGGGGATTTTAAACAATGTAAACAGACCAATTGGATTGACTGTGCAAGTTATGACTCATGAAATAACAATCTTAATATTGTTATTGCGAAAGGTGAGCCTGTTCACAATAGAAGGAATAAGAAATTAGGAATAAAGAATAAATCATTTTAACCTATCAGAAATCGGAATACACGGTTTCTGATAAGTTGAAATCGTTTATTCTTTATGTCTTCTATTGTGACAGGGCCTAACTATTATTAAAAACATTAAAACTAAAAATAATATCGAGGTCACCTCATCCTCTTAGCTCGTTTATTTCTATATATTTATGTATATACATCAGTCTAGTGACTTTATGTCAATCATAGTCAATCATATGAATATGAATTTTCACCGCAGAACGAAAATTCGAAGACGCGTGCGATTCGATGAATTTTATACGCGCGTCTCGGAATCTGATGGATTCAAATTAATTATTACGTGGATACAACGCACTTGCCATGTCGGATATAAAATTTACTTTGCAATCGTTTATTCTACAATCTATTTCATATATTTCAGATCCAAATAAACATTTAATTCATTGTCGATAAATTTCTTCGTGAGAAAATTAATTAATTAAAGAAAAAAATACAAATTTATACAAGTTTGTCTCGTATACAAATTTTTTCCTCGCTTAATGAATTATAAATATCTGAATAATTATATTTTGCAGATATATATGTTACTAAATAAAAAGCAGAAAGCACTATCGTAAGCGGCCAACAAATTATTAATACCACGCTCGCGCGAATAACAAAGCAATTTGCTTTATTAATCTGATGGATTACGCAATATGGATGAGCGTAAAATTGTCTCGCTCGGCGAGGCTGTGAAAAAATAAAAGAGAGAAGGACAGAAAGAGACGGGTTTACACTTTGCAGCGATATTACATTTTGCAGCGAGCAAGCACCGCATGCAGTTTATATCTCGCGTTACGCCTCCTGTAATATCGATCCTGGAGGCAGGCAGTGGACATGCGTTTAGCGCTTTTAACTTCATTGTGACAGGTGCCCTGTCTGGGGTATCCTGTTTGAAGTGTCTCGCAGCAGGAGCACTATGTCGAACGCGAAAACATAATGTGACACCGCCTCGCGACGCGTAGAGTTCACGGGAATCGCGGCAGTGAAGAATGTGCCGTGTGGGTGCTCGTTGATGGAGCGACGAGGCACCGCGAGGGCCGTCGACTAGTGTCTGGAACATGTGCCTTTGCTACGAGTGAGTACAAGAGAAATGATGATTGCGTCTGCAAAATCGTCATTCGAGCGAGAAACGTGAAGGAAAAGTCACAAAACCGCAAACAATGTTCCTCTGATGTACAATTATAGAGCATTAATTAGAAACGAACTTACATCTAGAAAGATGTTAATTGGAGTTAAGGATTCTAATGTATATGTATATTTAGAAGGAGAGATCGGAGAGAGCGTCAATTTGTTTTCCACTTGATTTTCTCTCGATTTACTGTTATAGTCAATAATTTAATAAGGGGTTCATTGGCTTGGGGTAATGGATTAAATAACGGCTCACCACCCACGCGAATCATAACGGATAAATTATTATTAAATATAGCTATTTTTGTGTCGGTGGGACGCTTACTGGATATATTTATTAATATGTTTCACAGTCATTTAACTCTTCAGTAAACGCGGCGTTTTGAAATATGACAGATGAAAAGAATTTTAAATAAATGACGATCAGACTCGGCAGTGTAAAATTTCTATAATTTTTTTTTTATATACTCATTGATACCTTAGTAATGAGACGATGTTTATAGCTAATATTATTTCGCATTTTATAAAATTCTTAATTTCCTTCTTACGTATTTGTTTTTATTTTTGTAATGCGATGAAATTTACGCAGTTAATATAATTGCATGTTCTAAAATTTCTAATTCTTCTTTATTATTTACTTAATTTATTTACTTATACCTTCATAACGCGATGAAATTTACGCTTGAATTTATGGTTAATATGATTTCACGTTCTATAAAAATTTCTAATTTCCCCTTTGTATACTTATTTTATTTATAACATAATGAAATCTACGTGATTAGTACTTAGTCATTGTAATGATTTTTCATGTTATAGAATTAGAATATTTGCGCTATTAGTTTTATATGATTTATATGACTTATGTTTATTTCTATCAATTTAGATTAATTATATTAGGTGTTGGAATTAATTCGTAGCGTTTTACAAGTGATGGGAAGTACTTTCATTAATGTATTTTTTAATGCTCATGTGAAATAAATAACATTCTTTCATTAAAAACGCTACGAATTAATTCCAACACCTAATAGTTTAATTTATTTTTTATCTCTTTAATTCTAACAATAAAAAAAAGGATAAAGGATAAATCAAATGAAGATTAATTCTTTGTTTAATTAATTATTAATAATAATTAATAATTTAAACTCATTTTTTGGACAACTATGTATTTATAATTATTTTAACTATGCAAATATAGTGCAACTGTGCTAATAATAATTAACAGTCTCACACGTTGAAAATTTTTAGCTTTTTCTTAACATATTTCTCAGTTACTACATAATAAGCAAATTTTTAAAAATGGTTTACTTATATTATAATACTTATATTATAATTGAGATTGCATTTACTCAATAAAAAAGATTATTTTATTTGCTATTTATATCTTGATTATTTTACTATATTAATATTTAAAATTAAATTTATAATACATAATTTTTTCATATTGAAAGGATTACACACACACACACACACACACACACACACACACACACACACACACACACACACACACACACACACACACACACATACGCACGCACGCACGCACGCACGCACGCACGCACGCACGCACGCACGCACGCACGCACGCACGCACGCACGCACGCACGCACTATTATTACTGATATTATAGCAGTAGTAACTATAAAAATGGAACTTGTAATCATAATTATTTTATCATGCAATTATGGTCACAAAAATACCAAACATTTTTTTTTCAGTGTTAGTACATACAATTAGGTCATTCGTGTTCTGCGCATTTCTTTTCTTTGAAATATTAACTGTGTTCTGTAAAACATGATGCGCATGATCATTTTATCCTTGTTGTTCACCGAATATTAAATGATAAGACTAAAATGATCATATCAAACGCCCAAGTATCTTTTAAGATCGTAATATGAATATACAATAACATTTATTGATAGAATAATACATCAAATTATTGTTTGCATTATGCGTTTTACAGAACTAGGAAATCGGAATACCTATTGTCTAAAAATGTCTTCACCCTTTCTTTATTTTTAATGCACAACATTATAAATATTTTTTAAAAGTGTTAAAGTATATATAAGAATCACGTAATAATTTTTGTATTCTTATAAAAGTGAAAATTAACGCAGAACACAAACGATCCATCCTATAGAAAAATCGAAACATTAAATATACATTAAGAATTAATCTATAATACATTAATAGAAATGGACATTTTAAATATTGTTATACAAGTCTTTAACCTCGCGTATGAAAAAGGAGCGACAATACTTAATTTAATTACGTGCATACACGTGTCCAATATTTTTTCCTTAAATAAGTATAATGTGCAATAGGATAGATAGAAATATAATCGTTGCAATCAGATAGAGCTGTGCGTTAAGATAAATATAACATGTGTACACAAACAGCTGTATATTTTTATTTATCGCGTGACATTACAATTTTATTTCGAACATATCATTTGTTCTGCGATGGGACTTATGCTGTGCTCTTATCTGATTAATTATACACAACTGATAACAAATGCTTTATATATAGCGAGCTACTATTTTTTACAGCCACGATCAGTATCGCGACTGTAATATTTGCGTTTGTTTTATTCATAGATGAAACAGATAAGTACAATCGATGTGTACTTTGATGTACACGTCAACGTCAACGATAAAACTCTCACTGTCTAAGTTCGACATTAATTCTATTTTTATTATATGTTGAAAGAAATTGCCATTTTATTCGTAGTAAATTCTGAAAAATCGCAAAAAATAAAATGATCGATGTGTACACTGCTGGTCATTAAAATTGTAACACCAAAAAAACTTATGAGCTGATATCAAAGTATTTATATAGTGGATTATTTATGATATACGGAGTTCAATATAAAAGTACAGCTTAGTATTTTTATTAGATATACAGCTTATTCTCATATTTTACTATGACCTATACATTCTACAAATTTCAATTTAATATAATGTGATTTTTTTATCGTTGCAATTTTAATGACCAACAATGTACTGATAACTGAAAAAATTATTAATGTAATTCTCAGAACTTCTCATTTACGCCCTGAAAATTAGGCGACTCCGTTTGGATTCGAGATCGAATGATCCTATTTTAACAACGAAATTGCGCGATATTTAATTATCATTTGGCGATTAATTCTCATAGAAATATAGATAACGTTTCTGAACTTTTCTGGACTTATCTATTAATTCCCATAGAAATATAGATAGATACGTTTCTGGAGTTATCAATTACGGTAATGAAACTAATGTACATGAATCGCGATAAAATGTCTTCAACGATGCGCGGTGGTCAATGCCAAGGTCTGTCTGACTTTTAGAAACTTTAGAAACCCGTTGTCTTTGTACGTGTGCCCAC